CCCGCGATCGCAGACGACCATGCTGACAGGTGAAGCCGCGCCAGGCATTCGCGCGGAGGAATGGAAAAGCAAACGTGTTTTCTTCATGACCCCTCAAACCCTCGTCAATGATCTCAAGTCAGGAATAGCCGACCCGAAACGTATCGTCCTGCTCGTTGTTGACGAAGCTCATCGTGCTACTGGCGGCTATGCATACGTGGAAGTGGTCAAGTTCCTCAAGCGGTATAACAAGAGCTTCCGGGTCCTCGCCCTTACTGCAACTCCAGGTTCTACTGTGGAATCAGTGCAAGCCGTCATTGATGGCCTGGGTATTGCCAAGGTGGAGATTCGCACCGAGCAGTCTCTCGACATTCGGGAATATGTACATGCTCGGGACACCGAGGTGCAAACGTTCAAGAATTCCGATGAAATGGTGCTGTGCATGGAACTTTTCACAAGGACTCTGCAGCCGCTTGTCGACCAACTTCGTAACCTTAACGCCTACTGGGGAAGGGATCCGATGGCTCTCACCGCGTTCGGTCTCACCAAGGCCCGTCAGCAATGGATGGGTTCAGATGCAGGGAGGAATGCGAACCTTGGCCTGAAGGGCAAAGTCAACGCAATTTTCACCGTCCTCGCGAGTTTGGCCCATGCCATCGATCTCTTGAAATATCACGGTATCACGCCATTCTATCGGCACCTTTTGCACTTTCAGTCTAACACTGATGGCCAAAAGGGGGGCAAATATCAACGCCAGATTGTGCAGGACGAAAGTTTCAAGAAACTCATGAACCATCTCCAGCCTTGGACTAAGAACCCAGAATTCATCGGCCATCCGAAGTTAGAATACCTCAAACAGGTCGTACTCAATCACTTCATGGATCGTGGAGAAGGAACGGCAGCCAATGGAGACCAGAGTCAGTCAGCGACACGAATTATGATATTTGTACATTTTCGAGATAGCGCTGAGGAAGTGGTCAGAGTTCTAAAGCGGTACGAGCCTCTGATTCGACCCCACGTGTTTGTAGGGCAGAGCAGTGCGAAAGGATCGGAGGGAATGGACCAAAAGACACAGTTGAGCATTGTGCAGAAGTTCAAGAAAGGCACATATAACACTATCGTCGCGACCTCGATTGGTGAAGAAGGTCTCGATATTGGCGAGGTCGATCTCATTGTCTGCTACGACTCTTCGGCGTCGCCTATCCGCATGCTCCAGCGCATGGGACGTACTGGTCGTAAGAGAGCCGGTAATATTGTGCTGCTTCTGATGCAGGGTAAAGAAGAGGAGTCTTATATTAAGGCCAAAGACAATTACGAGAAAATGCAGCAGATGATAGCCAGCGGTACTCGTTTCACCTTTCATGACGACACATCCCCTCGCATCTTGCCCCCAGGAGTCCGCCCTGTGGCTGAGAAGAGGCAAATCGATATTCCGGTGGAGAATACGCAGGCTGATTTACCAGAGCCCAGAAAGAGAGCACGGCCCCCAAAAAGGCCGCCGAAGAAGTTCCATATGCCAGATGACGTCGAGACTGGTTTTGCAAAGGCGTCCAGTCTAACTGGGAAAGTGACGAAGAAAGCAGAAACCAAGAAAGCCGTCCGCAAACCGACTCCAGAGCCTGTGGAGGTTCCCGCCCTGGAAGAAGTTCTCCTTACGCCAGGAGAACAACAGGATCTTGAGCGACGCTATTGTCATATAGGAGGCACTAGCCCAGAGTTCATCCGGAACCCACGTGTTGACGCCTACCCTCGCCTGCAATCCGTTCCTAGGCCGACAAAAGCTATTAAACATGGTTCCTTGACCTCCCGCATGATTGGTACTCTCCAAAAAATGAGTAAGGTCAGTGTTGATTGTGAAAGACGATATAGGAAAGTGTTGGCTCTGGAGTCAAGCAAGGAGATTGTGGACTCAGTTCTGTCTCGCGAACCGGGCTCCCCAGCGCAGAACAGTGGAAGGCTGGGGAAAAAGCCGCACGCCTTCAAAAGGCCGTCGGCCACTTCGCGGCCAAACAATGTACATGTGCGGGAGGACGAAAATGAGGACAATTGCACTCCCGAACTGCTGTCTCCAGAGAAGTTGATGTCATCTTTTCTGGAGCCTCATACCGAAAGACCTCCCTATTCATCACAAAGAAGCCAAGATGCTTTTGAACTTGATTTCCCTGATGTTGAGACACTTCTCAATCGTAGCGCAGAGCGTCATGTTTCTCGCAAACGGAATAGATTTGTTCTTGATGATGACACTGAGGAATGACATTTTGGGTCAGCGTGGACAGTTTTGGATATTTGAACTTGGCTTTTAGCTTGGCTTTTGGAACATTATCATCATCTCTAGATACCCAAAATTACATAGAATAGATGAGTTTTGAGTCTCTTTATTGCTTTAAGGGCAGTATGTTCATGGGAGCGTTCTCCAAGCTCAGGGGGTAGCCTAAATGCCACCCCCACTTTCTCCGCGCACGCACCTTAATCGGCCAAGTCGAGAGGAAGGTCCGGTTTCACGTAGAGCTTCACCAATACAACACTATTCCAACACCTCACACCATGGCGGACATCCAATTTGACAGTGCGCTGTAAGTACCTAATTCCAAGCAATCGTTTACATACCTCATATTCCACATCTTGGGCCCTCAGAACGAGGACCCGGACAGCGGAGTGTCACCCAGCTCGGAGACAACAACAACAACAACAACAACAACAACAACAACAACAACAGCAGCAGCAGCAGCAGCTCAAGCTAACCATAACAACCACTCTCTAGCGATCTTCTTCGGCGTCTCAACCCCCGCGACACGAAACAGAACCTACAGGCCATTACATCGATCGTCCCAGACCTGACCGAAGACCTCCTCTCCTCCGTCGACCAGCCTCTAGAGATCCGCCGCTGCCCGAAGACCAACCGCGATTACCTGCTCTGCGATTACAACCGGGACGGGGACAGCTACCGCTCGCCCTGGAGCAATGAGTTTGATCCGCCACTGGAGGATGGCACGGTCCCCAGCGAGCGGGTGAGGAAGCTCGAGGTTGCGGCTAACGAGGCCTTTGATGTGTATCGGGAGCTGTACTATGAGGGTGGCGTGGGCAGCGTTTACTTTTGGGATTTGGATGATGGGTTTGCGGGCGTTATCCTCCTGAAGAAAGGTGGGCTTGGTTACGCTATGTCTGGTGAGATGCGGGCTTTGCTAATGGGTATGGCGGATAGGTGTTACACCCGGAGCGAAGAGCTCAGGAGAGTGGGACAGCATTCATGTCTTCGAGGCAACTGATAGGGCGCGCATGTCTCATTACAAGCTCACGAGCACGGTAATCCTGCACTTGGCGAATGAGAATGAGGCCCTCGGCGAGATGGATCTCAGCGGCAATATGACCCGGCAGATGGAGGTTGATCTCCCTGTGGAGTCCGATGCGAGCCATGTCGCCAATGTTGGTAGGCTCGTTGAGGATATGGAGTTGAAGATGCGGAACTTATTGCGTATGTGTCACATCTGTGAAGAGTTGTTCTGTCTTGACACGTCACATGCTAATCTGACTTGCGACGGCAGAGGAGGTCTACTTTGGCAAGGCCAAGGATGTGGTGGGTGAACTTCGAAGTAAGCCACTTCTCTGTCACGGTAGAACCAAGGCAATGGATGCTGACAAGAATACAGGCCTCGCACCGCTTTCGGAAACCAATAAAGAGAAGGCTGCACACCTGGAGATGATTAGGTCCATGCAGCGGTAGTGCATCAGCCAGCTATTGCTCGCTGAGTTCTGCGAACTAGCATCTGTACTTTGCTCGCCGTGTTACCATGAGCATGCCTATGTTCTTACTCCTCATTTCGCATCATCAAAGCTTCTGTCATAAGTGTCAAGACCGGTAATCGCTGGCAAAGACCAGTGTAAATAGGTCTCGTTTCTTCTGAACATCCGCCGAATCATCTCGTTCACAACAGCATCCGGGAACTGATAACTGCTTCAATTCAATGTGTGGGTATCATATAGCTATCCTAGTTGCCCCAATAAGATGTAGCTTGACGTGTAGACCTGAAGAATTCAGCGCGCTGAGATAGGCTGAGTAGTCGGCGCCTCGAAATGTTTAGGGCCTCTCAATCGACCTCCATCTTATGTCCACCTTCCGTCTTCACCCTCGCAGCTGAGGAATCGCCCAGTTGTTCCACGAACTGTCTCGCTGCTGCCCATAGCTCAGCTTCCTTATCCTTCCCTACAGTGTCCTTCCTGCTATTCAGCCAGCTGACATCCAACGGGTTCGAAACACCCGTTGCCCCTCCGCCAGCGCCTGGTAAATCGCCGGTCCTCGAGGCCGACTCCGGCGCTAGGATAGCAGCTTCCTCCAGGGCGTATACCTGGCGACGTAACCTGACGTCGATGGAGGAAAGGAGCGCGAAGTACTGGGACGTGGCTTCTTTAAACCGTGCTTTATGCGACTCGAGAGAAGTGTCCTCGGAGGAGTCGCCCGTTCTGGCGTTTGTGAGAGCTTGGATCGCGAGACCGGCCGAGTGAATCAGTTTTGCAACATCCTGCGAGCGATCAGTATCTGCTAGCTAATTGACGTCCTTGACGGCTGCGCAAGCTCGTTTGCGTCTGTCTTAATAGTGGCACAGAGCTACCTCCTTACCTTGTCCACCTCGTTCAACTGCCGGATTCGATCCGCTGAAGTAAATACTTGGTCTGGTTGTGCAGAGATCCTGCCCTCGGCCATCTCTTTGACATTTGAGGGATTTCGCCCGGAAACCTATCTCAGTGAAACCCACTTGAAGATAAAGTCAAAGTAAGAGTAACCGGAGCTATGTCATCATGTGCAGTGAGGCCGGACAGCGACAAATTTGATTACCTAAGTCAGTCCAAAGCGCTAACCCTAGACAGTCCTAGCTCGATATCAGAAACGTGACTTCGCAAGCCTCCCGATTTACTGAACCATCCAAAAGCAAGTCACTTTTGCATCTTATCTTCGCTTTCCGTTCAGAACGCAGCGAAGCCAAAAAAGACGCGACCATCAGTATCTGGACATCTAGCGTCGCGCCATGTCTGCGCCAGGCGGGGCTCCGAGCCCTGCACCTCGAAGTGCAAGCATCGGCCCCGGTGGTGGTGGTATGTCTATGCCTCCCCAGCAGCCCATGGGAAACACCACTCCAGTGGGAGCACCGACTCCGGGTCCTCCACCTCCACCGCCGAGTGGTGCGATGTCGCAGCAGAATCTGAATCAAATAGTAAGTGTTGAAGATTGTGTTTCATGAGTTTCGTGGGTTTCGCGCAGAGTATCTCTCATGTGTTGGTGTTTTTCGTCATTGATAAGCGGCTTGTTTTTGGCTGTGTTCGCTTGAACAAGCCTTGTGTTCGTCTTGGGACACGGCTGCAGCGTTTCATGTGCCCTGAGGACGGAGTCTGTCATGATTCGGTGTTCATTTCATGGCTGGTTTTACATCATGTATGGACTTTTCCTTTACTGTGTTGCTAATGCCATCTAGGTCATTGATTACCTGGCCAAGAAAGGATACAGCCGTACTGAAGCCATGCTGCGCATGGAATCAGCTAACCAAGAAATCGATGGCCGTCCTTTGCCTCCCCTTGGCGAGGATGCGCGTCCCAAGTATAGAATGGGGTTCGGTGAGTATCCCTACATAGTATATCATTAGTCATAAACTAATGCCGCATGCATCTAGATATACTGAAAGTCTGGGTTGAAGACAATCTAGATCTGTACAAGGTAGGCTACTTTCTCTTTATTAACATGCGCAATGCTTATCTTTGGACAGCCCGAACTTAGGCGTGTTCTGTGGCCGCTCTTTGTCTACTCTTTCCTCAACATGGTGACATCCTTTTATCCTCAAGAGGCCAAGCAGTTCTTTGATATAAACAAGAACCTGTTCCTCCCTGAGCACACAGACGATGTCCGTAAACTGGAGCCCATCAGTCTTCCTGAGCATGTTCAGGACAACGCCACGGCCAAACTCTACCGGAATAACAAGTATCGCTTAGTACTCAGCAACCCAGCATTTTCGAACCTTATGCAGTTTCTCGAAAACAAGTCGAAAGAGGGAGGCTCTGTTATGTCCGCTATTCTGAGCAGCTACTGCACAATCATTACCAAAGAGCGTGCGTCCGACGATCGTTTCAGCTTCGCTGCTATGTTAGGCCAAGCTGGAGCAGGGCAGACATTTCCCGCTGAAGACGAAGGTATTCCCGGTCACCATCCTGGATCGGCCTACACAGGCGACAATCCGGCAATGGCTGGAACATTACCCCGGCTCCGACTGGGCAAGCTTCCTATGGAATCAACGCTTGAGACCGACGTACGAGGCGAATTAGCAGACGAAGACATGAAGAACCCTCCGGCACCTGGCCACAACAGTCTTGTGCAGGAGTTTGACCAGATGATCAAAAAGGAAGAAGATGACGAAGCGCCCAGTCGTGCCGATATTCCATACCCTCCCTCGACTGCTCGCGATGTGGCTCTGGAAGTTCAAAAGGTGAAAGAGAATCGTGATCGGTTCAGGATTGAGGGCCGGACAGGAGGTGTTGGTCCTGCAGTCAGTGTTTGCATGTTCACATTCCACAACACTTATGACGGGTGGGTAATGACCGTTTCTTTGACTGGAAGTTTTTATTAATGAAGTGACAGAATCAATTGCCTGGATTTCTCCGACGATAATATGCTCGTTGCAGCTGGTATGCAGGAGTCGTATATTCGTGTTTGGAGCATGGATGGCAAGAAAATCCAAACGACCTACGACAACGTGGATGATGCGCCTCCCTCGAACTCGCGTCGTCTGATTGGACACTCGGGTCCGGTTTATGCAGTCGCATTTGCACCTTCTGCCACACGCTCAGAGGGCGCTGTAGCGCCGACCAACGCCCGTTGGCTGCTCTCTTCGTCTGCAGACAAGACCATCCGACTCTGGTCTCTTGATCTATGGCAATGCATGGTCGTCTACAAGGGCCATGATCAGCCTGTTTGGGATCTTCAGTGGGGCCCTTTCGGTCACTACTTTGTTTCCGGCGGACATGACAAGACAGCTCGTCTCTGGGTTACAGACCATATTCGTCAGCAGCGCATTTTCGTCGGCCATGACCAGGACGTGGACTGCGTCTGCTTCCACCCGAATTCCGCCTACGTCTTCACTGGCAGCTCCGACCATACGGTCCGCATGTGGGCGGTCACCACCGGTAACGCTGTGCGGATGTTCACTGGTCACACCGGCAATATTACGGCCTTGGCCTGCAGCAGAGACGGCAAACTTCTTGCATCCGCAGACGATCAAGGATCCATCCTCTTGTGGGATCTGGCACCCGGAAGGTTGTTGAAGCGCATGCGCGGTCATGGAAAAGGAGGAATCTGGTCCCTTAGCTGGAGCGTTGAGTCGACTGTCCTGGTCTCTGGCGGTGCCGACGGCACTGTCCGCGTGTGGGATGTCACCGGCCCAGCCCAAGATCCGTCCCAAGGTCGCGTAGTCGGCGAAGGCGGAGCAGGCACAAAGGTCGATGCTGGCAACCCCTCAGCCGCTTCCACCCAACCCTCGACCTCGGTTGCTCCGGGAATGGGCAAGAAGAAAGGAAAGGATGTCGTTGTCACACCTGACCAGATCAGCGCCTTCCCGACGAAGAAGAGTCCGGTCTACAAAGTCAAGTTCACCAACATGAATCTGATCATCGCCGGCGGGGCCTATCTTCCTTGACGAGAAATTGTGAGTTTCGTTACGTTGCAAAAGTGGCGTCAGATACCCGTATTGTATTTTGATCTGTCTTCCCTTGCATTTCCCATTTGCTCACTGGACCATGATGGGGCTTGGTGGCTTGATATTCGGCGGCGTCGGTGGGGGAGGCATCGGTGTTACATTGGCAATAGTACAAAGAAAGTCCCTGGCTTTCCTCTGTCCAATAATGATTTAATCAAATGGAGTTTGTAAATCTATAGCCGATGGCAATCCTTGCAACATTAGAAAAAAGGGATATTTGCGCTACTCTACGGCTTATGCAAATGTCCCGCGCTGCCACCACCATGCAAAGCACTAAACGAAGCACCGGCACCTGCACCCTTCTGCATGGCAGCGGAAGCCTGCATATCAGCCACCTTTGGCGGAAGCACCAGCGCGCTCCGATCATTCCGCTTGTAAAAATCCACCAAGATCTGGGCCGTCTTCGCCGGCATATCCTCCTGGACGAAATGGCCCGCTTCGGGGAGGACCTGGAGTTGATATTTCCCTGTAGAACATACTGTCAGCTGTAGAACGCGGCCAACAGCTAGAAGTCTAAAACAAACCTTGCATCTGCCCGATCATCAACTCCTTATCCAGCCTGTCTGTCCCGGCTAACAGGAGGAGTTTGCCGCCGCGCGCCTCCAAGAATTTACGACTGAGGCCGATGAACCAGTCTTCCCAGAAGGGCTTCGTGGCGGAGAGGTTGGTCCGCCAGACCCATGGTTTTGAGGGGTCTGAGGGCGTTTCTTCTTTGTATAGGAGGGATGGGACGGAGACTCTGGCGGAGGTTCTGTTTCGGATTGTTCGGGATCGTGTGCTGCGGCCATGGGTTAGCTTCGCTTCTAGTCGACATTTTTTTCGGTGATGTAGAGGGAGAGGTAGTTGACATACTGCCACTCAATACCCGATGTCAAAGAGGGGAATCTAGAAGGGCGAGTGGAGAGATATTTCTCCATGCTTTGGAGGGCATCCATGGCTGAGCCTGTGTCATTTATCATCAGTACAACCCTCGGGATAGATAGAGGTATCATATACATACCCTCGACAACATCCAGCACCGCATAAGCCAGTAATTTAGAGCCGAGCTCCCCCTTCTTCGCAACATCAGTGATCACCGCACCCCCGAGACTATGCCCCACAAGAACCAGGTCGGGAAGCTCCTCCCAGCCCATTTCCGCCTGGGTCTTGCGAACAACGTAGACCAGGTCTTGGTTGAGCGTCTCGAGGCTAAGATCTAGTGCGGCGGCTCCTGCTCCTCCATCCGTCCGTTGCACCGACGTGCGGCCGTGGTCGCGTGCGTCTAGTGACAGGATCCCCGCTTTGGGGAGGATCTTGCGGATTTCTTCTGCGCAGGTTGCAAACGAGAGTCCTGATGAACCAGCGCCATGGTGCATGACGAAGAGTGGACCTGAGTCGGTGGGTGGCGTGAGATAGACATGGTGGATGATGCGGAGAGTGTCGGTTTCGCGGGTTAGAAAGAGCTCTTTAGCAAAGAAGTCTGACCATCTCAGTGAGGAGGAGTCGGAGGATCTGGATGCCATTAGCGGGATTCTCACGACGTTCTCATGAGTCTGTGGGGTTGGCTGGTGAATGCATTATGCACCGGGATTGCATATGCATCTGCAGTACGACCGTGCTAACGTACCCCTGGCTAGCTCTAGCAAACAGCTGCCTGCTCGGCGAAGGAATCACTGTCCCTGCAGATGAGACTGAAGAGGAGTCCTCATCGTGACTGCTTTCCGCGGGGTGGTTCATTGACGAAGACTCGGATAGAAGAGGGGCCTCGGGCGGCAACTTGGCCAGCTTTGATTTGGCAAAAGCCTTGTGAAGATCGCTCATGGGCAGTTAATGTCTATGGCTATGGTCTGATTATAATGCTTCTATATCGCCGTCAGAGCAAATTCGTTTCAGGGAGCGAAGTTCATTTGACCATCTATCCGGAGATGGATTTGTGGTAATGTGGGGTAGGCCCAACCTGAACAGGGTGCTTTGAAACTGGACTAGATATAGCGGACAGCGGGAGAAATAGGACTGACATCTACAATGATGGTTTATATGGTCGATTCAATTTTATCTTATTATGGAATCCTCGTGTACCTGCAAAGCAGATGTTGATGAACGTGGTGTTGTTCTTGTTTTAGTAGGTGGGCAGTGCCGCCCTGAGCTGGCGGGTGAGTAAGCACCATTCGCTGCTATAGATAGACACCATCACATTCGCGCAGACGAGGATGGTCGCTTTTATCATGTCCAGCACGATATTACGACCATTCATGGGATTAATCCGATCAGTTCTACTTGTACAATCCGGCGGTGGTAGTAATTATGCGGGATTGTGGCCAGGTTATTATGTTTGTGTTGGGGTATAGGTCACAAAACGAAGTAGAGTATATATATCTGGATGATGGTAGAAATGGCAAGTCTGCATTTGGTACACCATTTTCGCTGCAAAAGTAGAGAGGTAAGATAATCACATATATCGAGCCGGAGGCGGCCAAATCTCATCCGGCTCTCCTTCTAGAGTGACGGGCCGCCTGATGCAACTGTCCTAACTCTGAGGTATGGCGATATGGTCGCCGTTTTGCCTCGCCTGAAAGTTCGCGCTGTGTGAGGCGCGCAAAGAGTGTCGGTGCGATGTGCTTGACATGCACCTTGAGCGGCTTCGCCATCTCAGAACGTGCTCCTGCCAGGGAACACGCATTGCATATCGGATATTTCGAATATCGTCATCGCTCAGGGCCTCGGCTGCCGCGTTCTGTGTGGTGTTCCAGCGGCGCTGCACGGCCTGGGCACTTGTCCACGCGGCCTTCATCTCCTCGGTCGTCGCAGCGGCGACCGCCCTGTGGGTGAGGTCCCGGTCCGCGGCGCTGAGTCGAAGCCGTTCAGCCAGGAGCCGTCCAGCTTGGTTGCGGACGACTCCGGCCGTTAGGAGGTGGGCTTCATTGTACGTGAGAGGGCTGGTGTCTGTCTTGACTGTGATGGCTCCATCATACAGCTGGAAAGACATGATGGAATACAGAACAAAACGCAAACAGAACTGATCATGCAGGAAAAGGCGCTATACGAATGTCGATGTCGGAGTGGGATACTGTCTTCAGGGCTGATGTTACACCTCGTGGCCTAAAATTCTGTATACTGGTTGATGAAGTACATTTGAGATGGCTGTGAGAGCTGGGAAAGGCCTTCAAGAGGCTTGTTTCCTGGCTATCTGTGTTGAAGCTGCCCATGCTAGATGGTTCGGTGGTTTCCCTAAAGTGAGAGAGACCTATAGAAACGACAGCCAACAGAAGCCGTGCGACCAAGACCACCTCCAACCGCATAGCCGAGCAGATCCAAACATAACACCTCTATAGGTGCCTCAGGCACTTATGTTATAATGAGTAATCAATGTCACGTGCTTGCTGGATTGTCGATGACCTCACTGCATCTGCAATTTTGGGATCATCGGGAGCTGTATCAATGGATCATCAATGAATGCGTCTATCTACCGTCAAGGAGGGGAGATCCCGATGATCAGCTGGACACACAGCTCCATTTCCGGCGGCAAACATGAGCTTATCTACTCCCAGATCCTGTTCGGTATTACATGCTCGGCCTGATAATGAACCGCTGTCTGACTGCGTTCGTCATGACGTCAACTTCACCTGGAATTCATGATTTACCTTAGTATCAGCAGAGGGATACCTCTCCATTATAATTCTTTATTGTCTATAATCTACCTATTTCTTCTTAGTCAAGTCCAATAAATTTATTCTTTGCGTGATATCTCTGACAGAATAGTCATAACGACTCCACTGTCATCTATTACCGAAGTCCTACCTATGACATAGACCGCGCAGAGCCCAATGGTTTCACTGTGGCGCAGGAACGATGACTCGGAGCGAGAGGAGCAAGGCCGTGATGGAGATGATAGATCCAGAGGACAGTATCAGGAAGCAGATGAACGGACACGACTTTTACCCAGAGAGAACCAAGGATATCTGAGTCCCGATGATCCTGCAGTAAGTTGCGGATGTTGAAGATAACAAACCTCCTGCGTTCGTGTTTCTCTAACATGCTTTTACTATCAGGTATCCCCCTACAATCTGTGGAGTGTCAGGGCTCTCAGAGCCTTCTCCTCTTTCTGTCTCGCGGTCAGTTTCGTCTGGTGGACCTTCCTGCTCGTCTCCATCTTCGTCAGCCCTCCGATGATGCACAGCCGTGGCTCTGGCTTTTTTAGCTTCGCGTATACCACACTCACCGTCGGCTACCTCGTTATCGCGCTGCTATTCTTTATAATCCCGTCAAAGGCCATGACGATATCCGGCATAGTGCTGGCCGTCTTCCTCTTCGTGGATATGTGCATTATCCTCGGTGTACCTCAGCTGCGCGTCGAAGAGGGCTGGGTTGGTATCGCCTCGGTCGTCTGGGCCACCCTGATATCCATTTTCAACGTCCTCCAAAACCGGACCGTTGCCTGGGGCAAGAGGGAGGAAGAGGAGCGCCTTACCGGACGAGAGGAAACCCGGCGGTCCCTCCGGGAATGGGTCGCCGTGCTTATTGAAACGATCTTCATGGTTGTGTTCGCGATAGTCTCGATCCTCTTCACTGCAACCCTGATCATCCGCGCCCGGGATGCCTCCCTCCCAGCCCCGGGACAAAAGTACCTCGTCAACGGTGAGAAGTACCAAGTCCACCTCGCCTGTGTCGGTCCCATGAACGGCACCACCGACGGCAACGGAAGGAAACCACCCACTGTCCTCCTCGAAGGCGGCGAAGGCCCAGTCGAGCACTCCCTGCAACCCTTCATCGACGACGTCTACAAGCAAGGCCTCATCGACCGCTACTGTTACTGGGACCGACCAGGATACGCCTGGTCCGACAATGCCCCCTCCCCACACTCCGCCGGCATGGCAGCTGATGCTCTCTCCGAAGCCCTCGCGCTCGCCGGCGAGGAAGGACCCTGGATCCTGGTCTCCTCCGGCATCGGCTCCATCTACAGCCGGATCTTCTCCAGCCGCCACCTCCTCGAAACAAAAGGCATCATGCTCATCGACGCCATGCACGAGGACTACCTCGGCCAAGTGGGTAACGCCGGCCGCGGCTTCCTGCTCTGGCTCCGCGGGGTCCTCTCCCCGCTAGGCCTGGACCGCCTCTTCGGCGCCTTGTTCAAGGGCCGCACGCGCGAAGACCGCGTCTACGGCCGCAGCGCGTACCAGACGGACAAATTCCTCAAGGCCCATTTGCAGGAAAACCTTGTCGCTGAGTCCATGACTGCCTCTGAGATCCAGACGGCGCGCCATGTCCAGATGCCCGATACGCCGCTTGTCGTCGTAAGCTCTGGGATCGAGGTCCGCAGGAGCAACAAGTGGGCCAAGACACAGGAGGATCTGACCAAGATCACGAAGAACTTGAAGGAGTGGGATATCGTCAAGGGTGCGCCTCATGAGGTGTGGAGGACCACTGAAGGTCGACAGGTTCTGGAAAAGAGACTCAACGAACTGGTCAAGGGCGAGTGATGATACATGTTTCTGGGATGATTTCTTTTCTCCATTTCAGGTTGTCTATCAAATTGTAATGTATCTAAATTGTCTTACGATTGTGATGTCCTCATGTTTGTCCTTCTAAATGCGGTCCATCCTTCTTTGGATATCTGTGCCTTCTCTCAGGGATCTACCATTTTACGCGATTACTACCTAGGTTAGGATGACAAAAGCAATTAATAAGGTAAATTGTCCTGTCTGATCATTGCAGTCACGCTCATGACGATCATCAAGCGCACTGGGGATGGTGCACGCATAGACCAGAACGGAGAAGCCTTTCGAATCAGAAAGACACCAGCCATAAAACTATTACAAGTAGGTAAACTATTACGACTAGGTATACACTCATGGAGCTCTCGAACCCTGATATGCAAGTATCAGCCATCACTTTTGGAGTTCAGCGGACTGCGGATCTTCCTCATCCAAATAAAGGCGGTCTTCATGAAGGCTGGACAGACTCCGAAAACCCATACCAGCAAGGAATCGTAGGATGATTGCAAAGACACAGACGAACATCGATGCAATGGTCACGAAGATTGGATGCCGCATACCAACAATGAATGGCCGGACGATCTCAAAGCATAAGGTCGGCACAGAGAGACGCAATTCGAAAAGACGTGTATACCTATCCATTGGAGTATGGGGAGAGGGTACATGCTGTTCCGAATCTGCAGCACGTTTCTGGTAGGCGGAGAGAACAGTTTCCACATGCAACATGTATGAAACTTGAACTAGCGAGGTGCACTGCGAGCTGTGTAGAGGCTGGTATAGGGTCAATGTTATCGGAGTAGAACTGCGGAGCTTCTGCCAGTGGGGAACCAATCTTGAGGGACGCGACAGCAAACCGGCTAAATGCTTCAGAAATGTGTTCTCTTTGGGTCTGCTAGACGAGGGTCCAAAATCGGTGCTGAATGACTTCAAGAATGCAATTCGGGACTCAGGCGAAAGTATAGCCCGAAGCAGTGGTAATCTATCACTGGTGGGTATTGGTGCTGGAAATGGCTTGTCCGGATCGCCTAATAGAACACGATACGCATTCTGAACACCGCGATGGGCGACTCTCCGCTGATCATGAGGCTTATGAGGGCTCGAATCGATCCATGTCTCTCTTTGCACAATCGAGGCAACTTTCTCTTCCGAAGGGAGATATTCCACAAAGCGAGAATGTGGCTGAAGCCATCTTCGAGGCTGGGGAAGACTTGTGTGCTGTGATGGCGTGGGATGCTTGCGCTCCGGTGAGATTGTACTTGCTCGTGGTTGTGCTTGGCCAGAAAGCTTGAGACCCTCTACCGCAGCATCAGTGAGGAAAGGAGGCTTCGGTGGCCTTGGTGGTCTCCGATTACTCTCATCTTCATTGGTCAAGAGGGGAGCTTGGACGTTCTCTGAGCTGCAATCGGGCCAGGTGATCGAGGTGATGTTACACTGATGCGATGAGAGGGCACTTTTTCTGTTTCTTTCCCGGTATAGGTGTGCAGACGAAAGGTGCTTTGCCTGTTCGCTTTCGGACGCCGGACTATTAGTTGGATTCGTGGGCAAGGGTTCGTCAAAGATGAAGTGCGTATCAGGCTGCCGACTGGAGGGTACTGTTGGAATAGTAGACTTGGCGTTCGTCCTTCGGTCATTCCGAACTCCATCGAGCTCGCGCACAGGAAACGGATCTAAACTGCTAGGGTACTCGCCGTACAAACTGCAAATGTCGTCTTCCGATTCCGTGAGCTTGGTCTTGGTCCGAGATTTTGAAGGAGTGACCGGTGCATTCTCTTGCAGATGCTCCTCCAGCGCGAACTGCAATGTATGTGAAGGGCTGAACTGTCGGTGCGATGTTATATGGTCCATTCTCAACTATTGTAGGTACCTAAAAATGGGCAACGGCAGGAAAAAGGATCTGTGAAGCTGGTCAATTAGTTATAATGAATCGAGGAGAACTTGAAGAATAATAAGATTGCGGGCCAAGTAAGGAAGTTAGATAGTTTGCGAATCCATTTCGGGAAGGCATGATCCAGTCCACACAACGATCTCCTAAGGGTTAGGACTCCATGATTCACAGAGTAGGGCACATGGTAGGGTAAGGTACAGTTATTATTGAAAGAACCTTGCCGGAGAATTGTTATAATTCTACAAGTTCAGAATTGCAATCGCGAGTGGTTATGTACATCAGGTATCTATTTCAGGACGGCTTGCAGGGTCTCCAGAACCTGTGACAACGTTAGTAATTAAGTATAGCCTCGTGCTAATGCGTTCGTGGTTGACCTACCTCGAGCTCAATCTTAGCCTCAGCAATGTCCTGCTCACTGCCACTACCATTGGCAATCTTTTGGACCTCGGCGATCTGGGACTTGACAGCCTGTAATTGAAAGATTGGGTCAGAAAAGTATATCAAGACATTTTCTTCGTTTCCCCAACTTACATCGGCGCTGAAGTCCTCGAGGGGGTATGCCTCCACGGCGTTGATGCTCAGCGCAGAGTCAGGCTGAACGACGGCGAAGCCACCAGAGACTGAAGAACGCAGACTCGTTAGTGCGATGCTATAGGAAAGCAATGCGACATCTTCGTGGTCCCACGATATCGCAGCGCAAAGCTCAGCGGGGTTGTCCGGACGTACGGAAGAACTTCTTGTTGGCACCACCCTCCTCAACGATCTCAACGAGACCAGGCTTCAGCTGCTCAATGGAGGGAACGTGGTTGGCGAGGACACCCATTTCTCCGGACTCGGCGGGGATGTTGACCTGGACACTGTAGGGGGAGGTCGTCAGTACGCATTCAAGTCATGTTCAGAATTGTCGATCGTCGATGAGAGGGGAGTTGGTCGTCACGTACACGCCGGCCGACTTGAAGATAGTCTGTTCCAAGATCCTTATGTCAGTTTCCAGCCTGTAAGACGAAAAGGGTGCGTTCAGTTATCTCGGATCGTACCTGGTGAGGAAGGGCCAGAGAAAGCTTGATCTTGTCCGACACAGCCTCAGCGTAACCTCTGCGCTGGAGAGGAACGCGGAGAGCAGAGGGACGAGCCCTGAGAGCAGAGCGAGCGAAGCGAAGAGAGCTCATCTTGCAATGGATGGAAGGGAGAACGTGGTGATGGTATCCCTCTTGAACCTGGGTCAAAGTTGCAAAGGTCGAAGTCCGACTGCCGGTTGTTCCCTAGCGGCTCTTAGCATCACGTGATAGATCTTGACAGAGGCATCAAATAACAAACACCCTAGGATTCGACAAACCAATCTTAGCAGGGTAATTGAACGACCCGAGATTGTTTGTGATATACAAGGTCTTATTGATCGATTGGCGATAAAAAAAGTGTTTCTTTTATTCTGAAAGGTCAATGTCCCTCGCCTATTACTAGGACATAGCATCACGCATTGCGACTGCATCGACTGCTAAGCTTTCTACATCTCGGACAGCAGTGTCATGCTAAGGGCAACCGGCAGATACTCTCAAAAGGAATAGCAATGGCAGTTGCTCTACTGATAAATACATTGATTCTGGAAACGTACTCCGTACTACATTTCAACGTGGATGTTTCAAGCACCACAATGCGAAGTCACGTGATATACGGCCTACACACTGTGTCTTTAGCCTTCGTATCGGATATTCCACCTTAAGTTAATGTATTTTCGCGCTCACAATGGCTTTTGAGCACCCGAACTATTGATGGCTCGCCCTACCACCCTCCTGGAACAAGCAAGCAAGCGATGTGTGGCATCACTGTCATCTCCATGCCAAGCGTATAACTAGTTATTGGGATTCGACTTAGTAATCCGGTCACGGGACATCGTTCACAGTCACGACCGGTCTTACGAGGCACTAGTACTTCATCTTGAGAATCGATAAGTTGCTCCCTACTAGTGTCGAAACTGAAAGACATATAGACAAGTAGTCTCACAGCATGTAGAGGAACAATCCGATTGTGAATGGCAGAGTGCTGTTGTGAACATAAGGTAGACATTTGGCGCTGCCGCAGTTGGCCGGATGGAATGGACCAATGACGCTAGCCGCTGGAGCAGTAAGCGAAATCCCACACAAATCTTTCCCAGCGGAACCCTAGCCGGAATCTTTGGGGGTCTCTAGCCTTCTGCTCAGTTCAAGGACATCTTCAATCCGCCAACTCATCGTCAACCCGTTTCTTGTTGCGACACATCCCGTCAAGATGGCCAGTACGTTACCTGACCCCGGGCATTTTGGAATTCTCAAAATCGATTTTATATCAGCACAATGTCCCCGGATTTTACGAAAGTCGCTGACGGTCATTTTCACTTGAACAGAGTCCAAGAACGCGTCTCAGCACCACCGCAGCCAGAAGGCTCACCGTAACGGGTTCGTACAGTCCTCAGCAATTTGAATCGAAATATTTTGGTTGGGAGGGAAGGATTTCGTTGCAGTGGCGGTTTTGACATCACCGGAATTGGTCCTGAATGACTCGCGACCAGCTTGCAACATATCTACCAACCACATGTTGAAGGAGGGAAAGACAGTTCGCTGATATTTGCCGTTTGATTCCAACAGTATCAAGAAGCCTAAGACTCACCGTTACCCTTCCCTCAAGGGTGTTGACCCCAAGTTCCGCCGCAACCACAGACACGCCCTTCACGGCACCATGAAGGCTCTGGTACGTTGACTTTGCTGCTGCTTAGGTCGGAAGCAGCTGGATGTCGGAGGACATGGCTAACTGTCCTACAGAAGGAGCGCAAGGAGGGCAAGCGGGAGGTCGCATAAATTGATTCATCGAAATTAAATGGGAAGCGATTTGAGTTGGTTTAACGTGCGATGACACAGAGCGTCATGTCGGAAGAGCCTGGCTGGGTTTCCGCGCGACGGCTTGTTAAATAACACAAAAATGGATTCGATTCCACGACTTGGCCATCACGAGTGCCTGGAGCATGATTTCGTTTCTGCGATAGGGCATGCTTTCATGCCGACTTGATTCTGTCTTTGCTTTTTCTTTTCTGCGTCAGGAACGATATGCGGTCATCCCGTCGTTCATT